TGCCTGCCCAGAGGTGGGCTGAGCCTAAGCAGGTGCAGCAGGGCTACAAAGAGTTTGCGGGAAGAAAGGTCTCGTCCCAAGTCCTGGAGGGCTTGGGCCCTGTGGATGCCAGTCAACCCCCCGAGAAACGGAGGAAGAGGGACCTTGGAAGTGCCCCCAGAGATTCCATTTCTGGAATGGTGTGTGGTGGGGGACGGGTGTGTGGTGGGGGACAGGCACAGGTGCAGGCACACAGTGGGGCTGCGTGTGGCCCAGGCAGCCAGAGACACAAGGGGTTCAGGGGACCAACTTCCCCTCCATGCAACTGGCTGAGGCGGCCCAGAACGGACGGGGCCATGGGGCTGAGGAGCCACTCTGAGCTGATACGCCCCTTGGAGCTTTGAACTTTGTATCATGGGTTCACTAATGATGTGAATCACCCAACAGGAGGGAGAAGCAGGCCGGGTCCCCACATGTCCCTTCAACCCTGGGGCCGGGCCTCACCCTTGTTCTGTCCCAGGTGCCCTGGGCTCTGACTCAGCCCCTTCCCCACAGACCCCGCAGCCCAGCTGGCCACCTCCAAGGGGCCTGTCGCGGCGGGGAAACCGCCGAGCACCTGAGCCCCACTGGGCAGAAGGCATGAGTGCCGCCGTCCTACCCTACCTGCATTTGAGGGTGGGCGGGGGGGTGTCTGCTGCACGGCCACGGAGGAGGATGAGGACAGGAACAGCTGCTCTCCCCAAAACACTCTGCAGAGCCCCTCTTGGCCCTTCAGCTATCTGGGACAAGTGTGGCTGTCCTGAGCCAGAGGCCAGCAATGGCCCCTGTGAGGTGGCCCACCGCCCAAATCCTACATTTCTCTGTTTTCGGGGCTGGTGGCAGCAGCTAGAGCTCAGACTGAGTTCAATGGCTTGGGCTCAGGTGCTGGCTGCTCTCCTTCCTGCCTGTGCGGCCTTGGCCAGCGGTGAGGGGTCAGCGGGGGCCTGAAGCTCAGCGCTCGGAAAACCGCCCTTCTCCCTTTTGGTCAGTGAGGATGGCGCGGCTGCTGTGTCCCAAGGCCTAGTGAGGGACCTGGCCCTTTCTCATCCTCTCCTACTTCTGTCCCCCCCAGACCCTCTCCAGATTCCTTTTCTTTTCTTTCTTTCTTTTTTTTTTTTTTTAAGATTTTATTCATTTATTTGACAGAGAGAGACACAGCGAGAGAGGGAACACAAGTAGGGGGAGTGGGTGAGGGAGAAGTAGGCTTCCTGTTGAGCAGGGAGCCCGATGCAGGGGCTCAATCCCAGGACCCTGGGGGACCATGACCTGAGCTGAAGTCAGACACTTAACGGACTGAGCCACCCAGGTGCCCCCACAGATTCCTTTTCTGACTCCATGCAGGGAAATCTCTCCCGCCCCTCCCCAGGGGAGGGCCCGAGGCCTGCTCTGTCCACCCCCAGGACCCCCAGTACCCCCTCACCCTAGTGCATGCTAAGCCAGCAATTCCCTGGAGCCAGCCTCTCGTCCAGCAGCCTCTGCGGTAAATCCCTCAGCACCCCCACACCTGTCACCCTCATGGGGGCTCCTAACCCATGGCCCTTGATCCCAGGGTGGGGGCAGGACAGAGTCAGCGCCAGTCGGGCCAGCAATCCCTGTGGTGAAAATAGGGCAGTGGGCCGCAGGCCAGGCATGGTCAGGGCACCAGCCCCTTGCCTGCCTCAGCTCACTGTGCCCACCCATGAGACATCAGGAAGTTCCTGCCATGGGCCCCACATGAGGGTGTGCCTGCCGGCAGAGGACCCTGACCCCTGCATAAGGCTTTCCCAGGGCCCTGACAAGGTGAAGGAGGCTGGCCTCAGCCCCGGAGGCCTGGGCCCCCCGTACGGCCGTCACTGCACAGCATGCGTCCCAGCCGCGGCACGGGATGTGCAGGGCTGTGGGCCTCTCGCCAGCGGGACCTGCTGCCCGGGGCTCACTTTACGTGCAGGCTCAGAAAACAAGTGCCCAGCTTTGGGGATGGGCTTCTGGGGGCTGGTGGACCAGACTGGACCCTATGGATGGAGGCACGACAGCCAGAGCAGGGGGCACCCACCCTGAGCCCAGCTGGTGGTCTCCATAAGGCCTGGGGAAGGGGCTGTAGGGCAAACTGAGGCACCCCAGGGCCTACAAATCATCAAGGGGTCCGTGGAGCAGGCATAGGACCAAGGGTCCTGGGGAAGACCAAGAGCACTGAGCTAGTGATCCCCAGCGGCACGGCCGGAGGCCTCTGGCCCAGAGATGTGTTGGGGGTCATGCCTATTGTTTTGGATTTCTCTGATTGCAAAAAGAGCGCCTGGGTGGCTCAGTGGGTTAAACCTCTGCCTTCAGCTCAGGTCATGGTCTCAGGGTCCTGGGATTGAGCCCTGAATCGCATCGGGCTCTCTGCTCAGCGGGGAGCCTGCTTCCCCCTCTCTCTCTGCCTGCCTCTCTGCCTACTTGTGATCTCTCTCTCTCTCTCTTTCTGTCAAATAAATAAATAAAATCTTGAAAAAAAAAAAAAACAAAAACCTTTCAAGAGAGAAATGTGAGAAGTCTAGGAAATTATAAAGAAGAGAACCATCCTGCCCCTACCAAGGGGCCTGAGGCTGGGTGGGTGGGCCAGACAGGTACGGTGGCCTGGGCCAGAGACACTGCAGCCCCGGTGTTCCCTGGGGTCCCTGTATGCCTCGCTGCCCCTTTGCCGCCCCTGCCATTTACTGTGAGAGAACAACCCACAGTCGCAGGGAGGACCCCACTCCCGGCCCAGATTCTGGCAGCTCAAGCCCAGACCCCCCAATTCGAAGCCTGCAGATCACCCTCATCCGCCTCTCCTGCCCTCCACCGGCCCTTCCTGCCTCCAGGAAGCCCTTCCTGACCTCCCACCCCCACCCCAACTCGCTCTGAAGTCCCCGCAAGGTCCTCTGGCTTCCAGCCAAGGACGTCTGGGCTCTTTTCCCAGTTGGGTGTCCCTGTGGTCAGGGAAGAGATCCGGCAGAGCTGACGGCTGCCCGGTGCGGGAGCTGGTGCCGGAGCTGCTCCACATGACGGAGAAGTCCCCAGGAGTCAGGCGCATGCCGCAGACAGCTCAGGAATAGGGTGCCCTCAGGTTGGGCTTCTGTTCCCAGAAGGGCCTGGTACAAGAAGGGGACTCTGGGGAAGGCTGAGTGTGTCTCAGAGCTACCGCCACCTGGAACACCCCCGCCCCCGCCACCCGCTGCCAAGGCCCACCCGCTCATCTTCCCCCCCAGCTGCCCCCATTTAAATCCAGAAAACATTTGGTTTCACGACACTGTTTTGAACCTTGGGTCCTGACACTGATTTTTACCCTTCTCCTGCGCGCCGCCAGCCCCCGAGCACAGAGCCAGGCAAAAACTATGCATGCAACACCCACTCAAGGGTTAACTGAGGCCAAAACGCAGAGCCACTGTTGTTCTCCCCGGCCCCCAGCCCCAGGCGCTGATCCCTGGTCCCGTGGTGACCACAGGAGTGTGGGTGCAGACAAAGCTGTGTTCTTCCAGCCCCGGGCTTCACGATAGCAGCACAAGGACCCCATTCTCTCCTGTGCCCAGCTGTGTCCCCTCCCCCAGTGAGCCTGACACCCCGGGAGGGCCCCCAAGGGCACAGGCTCAGCTGCTGGGGCTCGGAGAAATTCACAAGGGGCCTCTGCAGGGGAAGCCAGTTCTGCCTGAAAGGTACAGACAGCTGCAAGTCCGCACATCCAGCCTCGGGTGGGAAACTGCCTGCACCGTTACAACTGATTTTTGAACCTAAAAGTGGAGGTTCATACCCAGCCTGTTAAACATAATCTTAATGGTTTCAGTCCAATGTGACCTTTTGGAATCTGGCTTCCAGATTCTTCCCATATATTAGCAGTTCTCCCCAGCTGTAGAGATGGTGACCTGCCTGGCTGTGCCTTCATCCCAGCGACTCAGGAAAACAGGCCTGGCTGGCAGAGGCTGCAGAGGGGACTTCCCGGGAGAATGGGGCCCTTGGCATCCTGCTTGTGGGTGCTGTGGCCCAGTGTGGGGTTATAAGGCCCACCTTTTCCTGCTCTCCGTCTACAAGCATAAGGGCTTGGAGAAGTCAGGACACAGTCTGCCCAGTCCATGAGTCTTGGGGTTATCAAGGACCCACAAGCCAGTCAACCCATGTCCCGAGGTTTTGCAGAATCTGGGACCCCAGAACCCAGCCCCTGGGTAAGAACACAGGCCAGCCAGTTCCTGACTGTCCCAGTCTCCATTTGCTCATCTGTAAAATGGGAATGATCGTCATGTCATCTGTATCCCAGGCTACCCAGAGAATTAAATGAGGGTCCAGGACACCATTTGGCACCCAGATGTCCATGTAGTCACATAAACCAGAGAGGTGGACCAGTGGAATTGGCCCAAGTCTTGCCTTCTGGATCCTGGTCTGGTCCGTAGACCAGGAGTGAGTCCCTCCCCAGGGACTGCCCCTTCTTGGTCAGAGCGCAGCTCAGCCAGGTTGCCAGCCTGGTTGGTACTGTGTTTTCTCTTGAGGATGTGGGCCTTCCTAAAGCAAGCTGCCCCCACTGGGGTCCCTCATTCATTCCCTCTCCCAGAAGCACACCCCCCGCCCTCAGTCGTTGAAAGCCAGGCCCTTGGCCCCAACTGCATACCGCACAGGACAATCCGCCCCAGCCTGGAGGTCTCAGGAAGCCTCTGGCCTAGTGGCTACTGGGCCCGGGGCCTCCTCCAGGCCGCCAGCAGGGCAGGGGAAGGCCACGGCGGAATGTTGCCCCTGGGCTGGCGGAGGGGATGGGGGGGATAGAGTCCAGCTCACCGGCCGCACCTCCGGCCCCGCGGCGCACCCCCCCCACCCCCGCCCTGGCGTGACCTTCGCCTCCGGGCGGACAAAGGCCGGCGGGGCGGGCGGCGCCTTTAAGGACGCGGCGCTCCAGGGTCGGTGCCAGGAGGCGCCGGGCGAGCCCCGGGGGAGCCGCGCGGCGGGCGGAGAGCGGGCGCCCGCGGCCAACCCCGCAGCCACCCCGGGCGCGCCCCGCGTGGTCACTCGCTCGGTGGGGGCGGGATGGGGCAGCCGGGGGCGCGGCGGAGCGGGTGGCACTGGGGTGCGGAGTGCGGCGGGGGTCGGCGGGCCGCGCGTGGGGGCTGGGGGGGAAGTGGGGCGAGACCCGGGGACCCGGCCGAGCTCGGGAGGCAGCAGCGAGCGGAGCCGGCGTGCGGGGCGGAGGGCGGACCCCGCTCGCCTCCCGTCAGTTTCCCGTTCGCTGTCGCCGGCCCGTTGCGGGGCGGGGTGGGGGGGCGCCTCCCGGGCCGTGAATCCGATTGTGGCGCCTCCAGCCGCCTGTGCGCTCCGGGGACGGGCGGGACGGGGGAGCGCAGCGGCCGCTTCCCGCGCGGGGACTCGGAGCGGGACCGGATGGGGACCCGGAGCCGCCGAGCGGTGGCTCCTCCCGACGCGGCCGCCCCTGGCGGGCTTTTGTTTCTCGCTCGCAGCCGGGGCTCCGCGCTCCCACCCGCCTCGCGCGGCGGCTCCGGGCCTCGGGCACTCGCGCTCCCGGAAAACACAAGCGCAAACCCCGGAACGGGCGGCGTCTCCCCGGGCCCGAATCCGCGCGTGGGGACCGACCAGTCCGCGCCCCCGCGGCCCCGCGCCCGCCGGACGCCGGGCCCGCAGCCGGGGGCTCGCGCGCTGGGGACGCCGCCGCGGACGTGGCTCTCGGGGCGCAGGGCACCGGGCCGGCCTCCGCGCTGCCCTGGGTGCGGCCCCGCTGCCCATCCTGCCTTGCCCTGTTGGAAGGGGGACTTTCCCGGGGATTCTCCCCGCCCCCCGCCGCCGTCCGCACGCAGCACTGATGGGTCATGGACTGGGACGCGGCACATATTCCTGCAGGTCAAAAACCCACAACAACAACAACAACAATAATAAACGGGGCTATTGAATGATCTTTCAACTGAATGGATCTACTGTCCTCTTAACGAAAGCGGGGTGCGCAGGCTGCAGTGGTGGTCCTGTGGCCATGCCTGGGCCAGGCCCTTTGCTTGCCTGGGAGGAATGAGAGGAGAAAGGGCTTTGCCACAGTCCCCAGCTGCTCTATGGGAATTTTGATGGGAATAATTTATTGTTGGTTCGTATATGCTGCAGGCTAACTGGCGGAGGGCTCAACCCCCCAGCAATAAGGAGGAAGAGAATAGGCAGATCTGGTGCCTGCCCAGCTCTGGTTTCCTCCCAGACACAGCTGGTATGGCTTGGCCATCCGACTGGGAGAAAAGTCCTAGGGAGTGCAGGGACAAGGGGAGGTTGTGAGGTGTGCCCGCCCCATCAAGCGGGGTCTGGGATGTGAGTGGGGAGCGTGGCCAGCAGCAAGTTCACAGCAGAAAGAGAACAGGAGGGCTGCCAGACTGAACCGTCCAGGCCTCTGGCTTTGTGTGTCAGAGGCCAGTCTGCACCAGGCAGCCCCGACCATCTGGAGCTGGGACAGAGGCAGGAAGGGGAGCCTAGCAGGGCAGTGGGGGGTGGGGGGCTCCTACCTTTGGGAATGTGAAAAAGTCCAACAGGGAAGTTTGCTTCAAGGTTCCTGGACACTCTGGAGGCTGGGGTGAGAAGGGGCAGGTGCCAATTTCCCCCTACATCTGGGGGGAAACTGGTGCTTAGAGGAACTGTGTTGGTCATGTGTTAGGGGTGGGGTATGATGAGCTGGGAGCTGTGGCCAGCTCGGTCCCCTGAAGATCGGGCCAGCCTGGTCCCAGACGCGTCCTTTAGGTCTTGCTCCTGGCCTTGCCTGTCTGTCTTACCTCGCCAGGGCCAGCTGGATTTTATCAGAGGAAACCCTGACACCCAGCCTGTACCCCCTCTCTCAGCCCCACCACCCCCGTGTGAGATCAGGCCCAGGAAGCCCGGCCCCAGAGACCCCGTCCAGACATACCCTGACAGCAACATGTGTAAACACACCCAGCGGGGAAGGAGCAGCCCACAGCAACTGCTTACTTGGCTCTCCCCCCCCCCCCCCCCCCGGCGGGCGTGCGAGGCCTGGTCTGGGAGGAGGCAGAAGGCATGTGGCCAGTCTCTGCGGGGAGCAGGGGGCGGGTGCCCAGAAGCACCCTGTACCTGGCCCCTCATGAGGTCCAGCAGTTTCTGTCCCCCACCCCGGAGCAGCCCACCCCCTTGCCAGGGCTGTTCCATCCACTAGGCCACCCATCTCCATTCCCCTGGGCTGGGACTGGGGTCTTTCCACACAGGCAGGAAGAGGAGGGCCCGGTTTGGGCCAGCCTCCTGCAAGGAGACCCCCAAAACACACCCCTCCACAGTTTTGGCTATGGAGGACCATCGGTAGGGAAGGAGCAGTTGGCCTTTGGGGCGGGCGGCCTAGTACACGCTATTGATTCCTTCCCAGACATCCCCGCGGGGTCCCTTGTCTTCTTGTAGCCCATGTGAAAAGGTGTCCAGGAGGCTGGAGGGGGGCGGGAGGATAGCGGGCAGTAAGGACGAAATGGGGGGGCTCCCTCTCCTGGGGCCCTCCTCACCTCTGGGGGTCCCAGGCGTCTCCCCGCCCTCATCCCCTTCAGCAGCACTAACCCTATGAACCGCCTCGCTGCCACCAACCAACATCTGGGGAGGGAAGCTGGGCAACAGGGACGCTCCTGCCCTTTTATGAAAATCGCTTCGATTTAACCCAGATGAGTCTCCTGTTGATAACCTCACGCAACCAGCACCCTGAATTATACTGTAGGTGTGAACACACTGGGTTATATTTAGCCGCAAATTATGACTCTGTTTAACAAGCACCTTCCCAGAGCTGAGGGGGCTGGGCAGCCTTCAGACCTGGTTGGACCAACCAGAAACGGAATTACCCCCCAGGCGGGAGGGGCCTGGGAAAGCTGTTCATCCAATTTCAAAGTCTGGCTCCCCAGCAGCTCCTGCTGCCTTTTGAAACTTCCAGCCACATCCCCAAGACTGTCCTGGACCCTGTCTGTGGCCTGCAGGGACCAGCTGTGCCCGGGGTGGGGGGGGTGAGGGGGTGGTGTCTGGCCTCAGCACTTAGGCCCCTTGCTCAGGCCGGAGCTGGGACTTGGGAGACATTCCGCCTAGGCCACTGGGCCTGGCAATGCTGGAGGGAGACTTCCTGGGGGAGGTGTAGGAAGGACCCTCCCACCCTGGCCTGGCCCAGGTCAAGTCTTCTACCTCTGTCTGCTGCCTCTCCCCATCACCTGGCCTTTGGTGACAGGAGGCACTGTTTTCCAGTGGGGAGGGGGGAGGACCCCTTTCTTTGGGGGAGGGGATCTCTGCCTTCCTCTCCCCTCCAAAGTAGGGCTGCCTTAACAAAGCTTAAGCCCCCAAAGAGGACAACGTGGCAAGAAGACCATCTTCCAGTCTAGGCACAAAGGTCCCAGTACAGCATCTTGGGGAGGGCCTGTGGGGGTCCAAGCTGCCCTAGTGAGGGAGCCACATGGGGGAGAGGGCTTCTGGGGTCTGGGCTGGGGCTGGTCCACACGGACCTTCCCCCAGCACCTCTACTCCCTCCAGTGCACCAGCCAGAGGCCCTGATGAAAAGAATCACCCCCCCCCAATCTGGTGGCAGAAGACCTCTTTCAAGGAGATGGTGTGGGGGCCCGGCTTTGGGGTGCTGGGGCCGAGTTCCTCCAGCTAAGGTGCTCTGGGGAATGTGTCTGATTTTTCCTCTTACTTGGGCAGGGGGGTGCAAACTCTTTATCTTTTTTTTTTTTTTTAAGATGTTATTTATTTATTTGACTGAGAGAGAGATACAATGAGAGAGGGAACACAAGCAGGGGGAGTGGGAGAGGGAGAAGAAGGCTTCCCGCTGAGCAGGGAGCCCAATGCGGGGCTCGATCCCAGGACTCTGGGATCACGACCTGAGCCCAAGGCTTAACAACTGAGCCACCCAGGTGCCCCCAAACTCCAAATCTTTGTATCGTCCTTGGAAAGAGCAGATGTGCACCGCTCTCCTCTTGGGCCAGGGGAGGGGGTGCTGGCTCAGCTCACCCCCCCTTTGCTCTCCTGCACAAACTCCAGACGCTGGGCAAGTGCAGACCTGTGGGTACAGGGCCCCCCCTTCAGGCAGGCTGGCCTGCCTGCCCTCTGGACCTGGCCCCCTGAGCCTGGGGGGGGCCGCTGTAGAATTAAGAATCAATTTTTGTCAAGAAATTGTTCCTAATTTGCTCTTTGGCTAATGGCCCAGGGAACAATGGCGAGACTCCTGACGCACAATTACAGAGCATGCGGCTCCGCTGCTCTCTGGCCCAGGCAGGTGCCTATTTGGAGCAGGGACTAATTCACAATTTTATGTAACTCACCCAACAACCCCACCCTCTGGTGTTAAAAAATGATTATTTCATGATTTCAGACAGAGCAGGATCACGGTCCTTCGGGAGCTGAGAGATCTAGATCTGTCGCCGCCTCCCAGGGACCCTTGCAGATACTGGGGATGGGCTCTGGCCGGCAGGCGCCCAGCCTGCGTTGGGGGAGGCAGGTTCTCCAGATACTTGCTGATACACGGGCCTGCTGTAAACACGTGTCAGCGTGGGGCATGGAAGTGGGTGCACGTACGTTTTGTGCACATGGGAGTGTCATGTGCCGCGCGACGCCCGAGTGTATGCCCGTGTGATGTATGTGTACGCGTGGGACGTGAGCATGCGGGAGAGGGCTCATGTGTGTCGTGTGGTCTGGGAGAGCACGTGCCCAAGTGTCCAAGAACGGCTGGCAGCTCGGGGATCTCTTTATCTTCTTCTTGGGGCCAGAGGGCAAGCCAGGAGGGGTGTTCACCAGGAGAGGTGTGTGCCAGCGTGTGCCAGCAGGGTTCTTGTAGGGCGGGACCTTGCTGGGGGCTCACCTTGCTGGTGGTGTTGAGGCGGGGGCAGGCATGCGGGCTGCTGGGGTGTGAGAGCCCCTTCCCCCATGAAACTGTGGGTGACTGCAGGGCCTGGACACCCCAGCTCAACCCGACTTGCTATCGGGACCCCTTGTTCCTCCTCTCTGACTTCTCCCTGGTTTCTCTCTCGCCCGGGTGGAAGGCAAGTCTACAGATCCCTACACCACGTTCCTCTAAAATTAAAAACATTTGTTAGCTCTGGACAGCAGGGAGAGTGAAAAGGAAACTGGAGGTTTCCTTGGAGCTGATAGCGCTCCCAGCCAAACATGCCCGGCCCCAGCCTCAAGGGGGAACACTGGGAGCTCATTTCCGTGGCACTTCAGGAGCTGCCTAGCGGCCCGGTGCCCGAGCTGGGAAGCTGCCAGCCCCGGCCGCATCCAGCGGCAGTCTGCAGTCATTTGCTGTAACAACTGTTTTGAAACAGCACTGGGGCGGGGGGAGCCCACCAGATTTGTTTTAAGTGATGCTGGGGGAAGAAGGAGGGGGTGGGGGGCCATGGGTGGGCAGGGAGCAGTGAGGCCCAGGCACATCCAAGGTAGGCAGGCCCTCCAGAGGCCTGCAGCCTGCATCCCGGTGCAAGTCACCAAGGGCAGGGCACAGTACTGGAGAGGCTCCGAAAGCCAGCCTCACCCCCTGGATGAGTAAACTGGTGACGGTGAGCTGCAAAGCCTCAATGAGGGCGATCTGAAACCCGCGGACAGCAGGGAGCGCCCCTACCCTAGCGTTCCTGGAGCGGCTCTCTGCGGGGCCAGCTTGTCTCCGGCGTGGCGGGGGTGGGGCCCATCAGCCAGGCTCCAGGACCTTCAGACCATCTTCTGCCCCCCGGGGTGGGAGCAGGGTTTGCGATTTCCCAGGCCGCACCTTTCCGCGCACACGGTGGGGGATCCTGGAGGCTAGAAGCCCCTGAGTCTCCCTCAGCAGGCGGCTGAGAGGCCGGGGATCCCCTCCGGGCTCATGGGCACCCGGGTCGCAGCGGCACACTCGGGGAGCTCGGAG